TGCATATGTTTAAACATAGAAATTATACCTCCAAAAAGCAACAATTTACTCTTAAATTCAGAAAAAACATGGATATTTTGAATTGTTAACTGGTCAAAGGTTGTATATTGAGGAATAACAAGGATGAATTTTTTAGGTTAACTTTTATTTGGTTATTTCTTCTATTTGAAAACTGTAAACTTAAAAGGGCATTAGCTGTCAAATTACTATTCACCAAATTTACTGAAATTCTTTTACATTTGTATGTATATCTACTTAATTTTTACTTTATCGAGAAAGTGTATACTATAAACGATATGTACTATCAACGACAAAACTTTTTATTCACGTCATTGTCAACGTCAATTTTACTATCTACTATACCTTTTTTGTTGGTGTCTTTGTTAGATTGATTTGTATGTTTGTTTGAATTTGTTAGTCAGTTGTGTTGTATGTCTGTGATTTATGTTTACACAGATTTGGCTGCTGGGTCCAAATTATTGTCACATTACTTTAGCAGAAGCTACGATGATCTTAATTGTAAATCAACAAATAAAGTCTACGGATTAATGTGTAACCTTTGCGGATTGATATATGTCGGGGATACGAAAAGAAGGCTTAATAAACGTATGTGCGGCCATAGATCAGACATCAACAACAATGCAAGCGACATTGTTTACCAGGATTTTAATCAGCCTGATCATTAAATCCTTTCTATGCAACGCATCATTGCAAAATATACCACAGGACTAACTATTCTCATTTTGGAACACCTTTGACAATTGAGAACAGCAACACCAAATGGTTGCAATGACAATATTGATGGTATAGGTATTCTATCTAATCCCTCCTGTAGCTCGATCGGTGAATGTGATGAACATTATCAACTCTACTCCTCGACGTAGACGCAGTCGTATCCATCGTCATTATACATCTCCTACTCTCCATGATGTCTCTATTAATGACCTGCAGCCATTGATATAGAAGTCGTTAGGTATTCATCACATTCGCACGAAGCTTTATTCAATAGAAATAAGAAGATGTGGTATGAGTGCCAATGAGACAAATCTCAATCCAAGTCACAATGTGTAAAAAGTACTAGTCAACAATTATAGGTCAAAGTACGGCCTTCAACACGGAGCCTTGGCTCACAACGAACAGCAAGCTATAAAAGGCCCCAAAATGACTAGTGTAAAACAATTCAAACAGGAAAACAAAAGGTCTAATATATATATAAAAAACGAGAAACGAGAAACACTTAAGAACCACATCAACAAACGACAACCACTGAAACAGGTTCCTGACTTAGGACAGGTGCAAACAATACACATTTCATAACTTCATCTTCTATGCAACTTATGTTTGGAAACCACTGTTACATGTACAAACCATCATTCAAACAAATACAAACAGTTTAATCCATTTTTTGGTAATATCCTTTTGGCGTGGCTCGGTATTTATACATCCCGCCATTGTGTTATTGTTCTATGGTCATTTTTGTGTATTCTTGTCTTTCATATTTGCTTATGTGTATAAAGTGTCTGTATGCCATTTTATATTTCTTTCTTCACATAGATATTTGTTTTATAGAGATTAAGAGAATAACACGATGTTGACTGCTGTACCCCAATTTTTGACATTTTGACCTATTATGTCTATTTGTTTTGCTCACACATTGTTGTCACTATAATTGAATTTTATGCGACTGCCATACAAGTGAGAGGTTTAGCTAGCTATAAAACCAGGTTTAATCCGCCATTTTCTACATAAGGAAATGCCTGTACCAAGTCAGCAATATGACAGTTGTTTTCCATTCGTTTGATGTGTTTGAGCTTTTGATTTTCCTATTTGATAAGGGACTTTCGGTTTTGAATTTTCCTTGGAGTTCGATATTTTTGTTATTTTACTTTTTACAGTCATCATCTCGGATATTGCCAGCCACGGACTTTAGAAAACCAGTTCGCATCGGAAAAGATGAAAAGGAAAAAAATCCTTTCAAATACTTTCCTTTGGCAACAAAAGTCTCGATGCCATCAACTTGGGCAATATCCGTCATCATAAATCAGTTCATTCGAAAATGCCACCCTATTAAGGCTATTTTAAAGATTAGTCTGTAACTATTATTTCCTATACCTATAGCAAACCAATTTATCAATCACAAACATGTGTTGTAGGATCTCAATATTGACGACTTCAAGTCTAAACCTCCTGCTTGCACCTGTGCACCTGTGCGAGTGTCCCATTCATATATATAATTTCTACGAAATGTGTTATCAAAGGCCCGACTTATCATGAGCCTAAATCCAACAATTGGAAATACAACTTCAAAATACTGATGGATTCAGTCAAGTATTATGCCAGGCAATGGGTTAAACGCGAGAAGGAAGACGTAGATACTCTGTTAGAATGGTTTAAAGCTGTGAGGTCGTTGATACAAATCAGAATAAAAAATGGAATGTGTCTATGAATACCCATGCTACATCAATCTGTAAAGACCCAAATGTTGCAAAACACTTGTCCTACCTCCATGACAAATATGTTATTGTCCTTGCAGATAAAGCCCCAAACAGCATTGTTTTTGTGTGTAAATCATATTACATAAACTGCTTGATAAATGAATTAGGAATCGGCAATTCACTTGGAAACTCAACACATACCCCCAAGACACCTACCAAGGAGGAGATCCTGAATAACCATTGGTCTTTTCTATGTTCCTTTGGAATATCAACCAAAGATTAAGAAATGCATCTTTCTTTACTGTATTGGATACCTAAACTACACAAGTAGCCTTACACACAACGTTATATTGCTGGGTCTTCCCAGTGTTCCACGAAACTTCTTTCTAAATTATTAACATTAATTTTATCAGCAATCAAAAGCGTGCTTCAAAGTTATTGTGAAACTACCTATTCTAGAGGTGGTGTGAATCAGATGTGGGTACTTAAAAAAAAAATCCAAAGATATTTTAGAATACATACAATCTAAGACTCTTTCATCTTATAATAGTATTAAAGCATTTGACTATTCTACACTTTACACAAGTATTTTCTATTCCAAACTAAAAGACAAATTGAAGGAGTTGGTCCTGCTTTGTTTCGTAAAAAAGAATGGTCAACGTCGATACAAGTATATTGTCTTCGGGAGAGATACATTTGTAAAAAATCATTCTGATTCAAATAAAATTATCAAAACAATCGGCATTCCCCTGGGAAACAACTATGTTCCTCTTCTTGTCGACTTGTTTCCGTTATTTATACGTTGCTGACTTTATACAGGAGCTTCTTAGGAAGAATGAAAAGAGGCTAGCATTATCCTTTTACTTCACGTTCCGCTATATAGATGATGTTCTTTTATTAAATAATTTAAAGTTTGGTGACTATGAACGCATCTTTCCCATCGTACTTGCAGATACAGTCAAGACTTACATCTGTCAATTTTTGTCGGTTGAGAAACAAACTTTACGACAAAAGATATGATTCCAACATCCCAATAGTGGTAGCAACGTTCCAACAGCACTTACGTATGGAGTATATTTCTCAAAGTTGACACGATATTCCAGAGCTTGCATTTCCTACTGAGATTTCCTTAAAAGAGGGTTGCTGCATGCTCACAAAGAAGCTGTTGAACTAAGAGTTCCAAGTGGTGAAGTTTGAATCATTCCTTCGAAAATGTTACACGACGGATGCCACATGTAGAACAGGATCTACTTACACTATTGGAGCACCTGAGATCACCCCCAATTTTTGGTGGGGTTATTGTGGCTCAGTCTATAGTTTTCTATATTGTGTTGTGTGTACTATTGTGTGTCTTCTGGTCTTTTCTTTTTTAGGCATGGCGTTGTCAGTTTATGTTCGACTTATGAGTTTGAATGTCCCTTTGGTATCTTTTGCCTCTCTTTTACGGACGCCATCACGAGTTGGTTGACCGTTATAGAATATCTGTTTCACAGACGACGACGGATATGTTCCAATCGTGTTAAACACAATCCCGTCTTCTTTTCTTCAAATGTGACAGACCGAATTAGACTTATCACCAGGTTATTACCTTCATGAGCAACATGACGGATGACACAAGTGGATCAATATCTACTTTCTACTTACCCTTTAGTAGCAACTGAGATCACCCATAGTTTTCTTTAAAAGGGGTTCGCTCTTGCTTTAAGTTTTCTATGTTGTATTTGTGCTTTTCATTTTTGAATGTCTGTAATGTTTAAACCCCTAACAGTCTTGTCTATTCTTTGTCATAAAATATTTCACATTTGGTCAAGTTTCAGGGTTAGAAAATTGACATGACTGATGTTTAAAGAATTTGATAATGTCTTACGGTAATTAGATAAGAGTCAATTACCAATCCGCAGTTCTGTGATGCCTAATCACTAGATATAACTTATCAACATATTTTATAGGAGTAACACGACGGGTGTCACATGTGAAGCAAGATCTGCTTACCCTTGCGGAGCACCTGAGATCACCCTCCCTCCTGGTTTGTGATGAGGTTCGTGCTGCTCGGTCTTTAGTTTTCATGTAGTGTTTTGTGTACTCTTGTATGTCTTTTTGTTTTTGTTTTTGTTTTTTTTTATTTTTGCCACGTCATTGTTAGTGTGTTTTCGACTGATGATTTTAAATATCCCTTTAGTATCTTTCGCCTCTCTTTCTAAAATAAATATAATTGTGTTCTATCAATTTGTTTTTGTCTACAACAATACGTGAGAATATTATTGAAATTATGCAAATAAATCTTCCATTTCATTTGTCCGTGATTTCGATCACTTTTAATTGTCAGAACTACCTCAGAAGGCAAACAGAAAGAGATCTTCCAACAACAGCTACATCGAATAAAACATTTGTAAAGGAATTATTTAATGTAATAAATAATTTACATTTATGATGTTTAAGTTATATCGTCAGGATCACAGCATGACTTCTAAATTGGTTTCATCGTTCTCTACAATTATTGATAATGGCTTAATTTTTATTTTGTCTATTTCTACTTAGCTCTGTAACACATTTAAACAACGCCTTAAGAACTTGACTTCTTGTTTACAGTAATCAAGACATTCGTGCAGATTGTGATTCAGTGTGATTCTGTTAAAAATGTTAAAAATCGTTTTACCTCCGGACTATTAAACATTATCCTTGAGAGTTTTGCCAATTTGTCTCTTGGTAAACTTGACAGTTTCTTTTTAATTTTCTTTTTGGTCAATTTTTGACGACTTTCATCAAATATATCACTTTGATCACTTGGGGCTATAGTGCGTAAGGAATCTATGATAGTGTCCTCTAAATCTCCTAATTTCCAAATGAAAATCTGTTTGTCAGATAATTGTTCTGACAATTTGTTGAGTCCATTTGGATCTTCAAGAAAATCTGTGACATGTCTGTTGTGGAATTTGGAGTAGTCTCCATCAGCATACCTTTGTCTGTCTATATTTACTACCTTTTGATTGTTGGTTTGGTCCAAAAAAATATATTTATCTCGATCGAAAACCCATTTACAAGACACACTTGTTTGTTTGCAAAACTGCCTTACTGGAGAATCGAATGTATGAGAACCTAGGACTACCAATTGATGACTAACAATATCATGTTTCATGTCAAGTTTGTAATCAGAATATTTAAGTACAAAGTCAAATAGACCTTCGATGACAATTTTATCGGTTGAGCCTTCCATACAAAGTACTTTAACTGCAAAAAATAATTTCTTTAGATTATCTACATCAGTAATATGTCGGTTTATTTTGTCGATTGGCCAAATACCGAAGCGTACTTTGGATGAATTTTGTGTGCTTTTTCGGAAGAAAACGTGTGTGTTTTCTGCCGTGATATTGTTTATCAGGAAAGGGTTGTGGGATATTACAACCACTACTTTGTTCCTATGTATACTCTCGCTTTGGAAGATGTCTCGCATCCTTTCGACCATTTGAGGATGCATACACCGGTCAGGTTCCTCTAGGCAAATTGTATGGAAAACTGTATGCGCCATGATAAGGGAGAACTGTTTGGCTTCTATAATACCTTCTGGTGTTTTCAGGAGATGAAATTCAGAAGAATTTGTCTCTTTTACATTTATTTCATCCGGATTTGATTTTGACGTAAATTTATATTCAAATGGATGAGTAAAAAATTTCAATATACTATCCGCTTTTACATGGTCAACCTCATCAGATGTCAACAGTTCATTTATAATCTCGGCTCTTTTACACGCCTCAAGATAATTCTCTTCCTTGAGGGTAATTTTCTTGCTTCTAGTCCACTGCAGTGTACCAATAGCTCTCATGGGCATTGTTGCAACATACGTTGATTCCAAATCCCTAATGAACTGATTAGTTGACAAGTTCGATAAAAAGTCCTCAGCAGTTCTACCTTCCGTTGCCCAATATCTTTGTATTTCCTCGTCCGTTATAGACGACAGATTCTCCCTGGACTCGACAACGTATTCCAGGAAGTTTTGCTCCAAAGTGGTTTGTTCTAGTTCTGTTTTAGCAGATAAAAGGTTCATCAACATATTAGACAACTCTTTAGATGTTTCAGCATTGAGTGTTTTTTTATCGACCATCGTAAGATTATTTCCATCTTGGAGGTAATAAATGACATGCATGACTATCGATTTCGATTCTCTCTGTTCAAGGCATACAATTTTAATGAACTTATTCTCGTGTGTCTTAATTACTCCTGAATAAATTTTATTTATGTTTTTAAAGTTACTGATATCGGTAACAGACGGTAAATCAAATTTACAAAAAGCGTAGGCATTTCTAGTTTCGTCATATGATGAAGATATCGAAGTGTTGATATCAGTTGACATGCATCTTCTTAGAATTTCTAACGTACTTGACTTTCCCGAAGAATTAGCACCAATGAAAAAATGTGGACCATCCTTGAATTCCAAACTTTGAAAATCTTTAAAATTGATAAAATTCTTGAATACCATTTGCCGTAACATCTACAATACAAAAATAACATTATGTTTATACATTGCAATTGTTAGCTGTACTTTTCTGTCTTTCTGCAGTTTTGTTTCCGATTGCATGTTTTTGTTATTTTGTATGCTCTTGCTTTTCTACACGCAAATTAATAGATATAAGAATATGTGGTATGAGTGTCAACTCTCCATGCAAGTCAAAATGCAATTTGTAAAAAGTAAACCATTATATGTAAAAGAACGGCCTTCAACACGGAGCCTTGGCTCACATCAAACAGCAATCTATAAAGGGCCTTAAAAATGCAAGTTAAACACGTGGCCATCAGGAGCACCAATTATTGATTTTTTATGAAACTTCCAAATGCTTGCGCTTCTAAAAATTTTTCAGTGAAACTGTTTGTTGCATTGAGTATGTTTGAAAAAATTTCCTGTATTACAATAATGTACAACTATTTTTGCTGTGTCCGAAAGGACAGGGTTCTTTAAGGAATCGATTGAAAAGATATTTGGTAAATGTTCATTTCATTGGAAGTTACGTCGATTTTCCAAATCATTGAGCGATTTATGTGAAAGTTATTGTTCTTTCAGCACTTTTTTTTCTTCAAGGTTGAATAAGTTCTTTCAAAATGTGATATATACTCATATCATAAGAAGTAACAGAAAAGAGTAAAGTTTTGTTCTTCTTGAGCGATGGAAGTTGTAACTAGTTTACATATGAAATTTGCTTCAATTAAGGTCTTTTCGGCATGTGTTCATGAAATGTCCCATCAATTTATTATGTAAGCACCATTTAAAGTAATATTAAAGATATGAGTTACAGACGATGTTTGAGGTTTTTTTTCGACTCAGTAATTGATTGAATGCTTTTAAATATAAATATTAAGTAATTTTCAATTTGGTAAAGAACATAGTATTGTCAATGCAATAACTTCAGACTTCTAGTTTTTCTTCAAAGTGTTATCAATGCGTTTTACTTTAATATTGATGTTGTCTATATGTGGTGTATACGTAGATAAAAACAATTTACGAGCATTCAAAATAAATTCCGTCTTTCTACAGGTCTATGGGAAACAATTATAATAAATATCTTATTTTGATATGCTTGTGTATATCTATAAATGTAGTAACCTCAGCTTATTTTGTATGCCTGGTTTCTAATATCTTTATCTTGTTATATACTAGCGAACGTTATTGCAAGGTGATTTAGATAGAGTCATTGATTTAAAAGTCGGGTAAACAATTATAAAAACTGTTTTACATCAACAATAAAATAACGAATATACAATATGATTCCTTTTGTATGATTGATTGATTGTTGGTTGCTTAACGTCCAGTGGCAAATATTTCATGCATATTCAGGACGAAAACAAATTAACAATAAATACAAAAGGTAGGTTCTGTAAGAGGGGCGCCCGGGATTAAGGTCGGTGAAATTTTTTAGAACGCCACGGGAAATTAGGGTATATTGGAATGGGACAGAAATTTAGCCTTGCAACAGGTCACCTACGGACCCCTCAAAGAGTTGTTGCTAGGGTTCTTAACGTGCAAAGAGCGTGGCACTCTCTTTACACGAGGCATCGGATTTAACGTCGCCATTCTGACCGGACGTGGCTGCAAATTTGTACACCGCGAACAGCCAAACGGACGCCCCACTTTAGCAAGGGTTTTACTGCCGGTCGGAGGAAGACCAATGGTGACCATACTTCTATTCCCCAGTCACCCTTGGGGAGATTCATTTTGTATGCAAAAAAACACAACATAAAATATGTATTGGGGACAATCAACACACATAAGTCAATGAAATACGGAACCATGATCAAAAGAAAAATTCGAACTTTAATGGAAAACCGATTAAAGCAAAGGAGGGATTGTACTTTATTTTAATATGACGAAGACATACTCTTCCATTCCGTTTAATAGAGGTCTGGAGCTGGCATATCAGTAACGGCATGTACTCTTTTGTTTATTTATGTTGATCATTGTCATTTTGCATAGTTTCTTCTGTTACCTATTCTAATATCGGACTCGGACTCCTTTAAATAAACTCATCATAGATACCAGGATTGAAATTTTGTATTAGCGTCAGACGCGCGTTTCGTCTACAAAAGACTCATTGGTGATGCTCGAATAAAAAAAAGTTAAAAAGGTAAAATAAAGTACGAAGTTGAAGAGTATTTAGGACCAACAATTCCTAAACGTTTTGCCAAATACAGCTAAGGTAATCTATTCCTGAGGTAGAAAAGCCTTAGTATTTCAAAAATATAAAGTTTTGTAAACAGTTAATTTATAATTATGAATAAAACAGTACTTTGCTGTACGTATTGTTGTGTGTTTGTTTATTTTACAATAGCTAGAGGTATAGAGGAGGGTTGAGATCCCACAAAACCTGTTTTAGCACCTGTCCTAAGGAAGGAACCTCGGGCCTTTTTGTATGTGTTTTTTTAATTTTGGTTCATTTATATGTTTTGGAGCTTAGTGCGACGCCAATTTTCGATAAACTAGTACACAGTTTTGTTTAGAAGCCAACTGAAGCCTTCCTCCGGGTGCGGGATTCTCGCTGTGTTGAAGATCCATTGGTGGTCTTGAGCTGTTTTCTGCTTTTTGGTCGGTTTGATGTTTCATTGACACATTCCCCGTTTTCATTCTAAATTTTATTGATTTAAACTACAACAATAAACGAAGAATACATATGGTAGACATCAACCAATGACAACCACTACCTGACAGGCATCTATAAAGTATAAAGGGGTGAACATTGTTGTGAGCGCTCACCACTACCTTAAGCTTGGACAGTATGTTTACAGCACCACATATGAAAAAACTGCAAAAATTTTGCCAAAAAAAATTTTCTTGGTTTTTTAACATCACTGGTGTATATTAATTTGTTGCATTGGCAATCATACTACATTTCTTTCTTTTCATATTAATTCACAAGATCGGTTAGTATACGTAGTTACTGAACCATGTATTACATTATCCCCACCCTGATTTAATACTTTACTTCTTTAATCTTGGGAAAAGTATCATTCTGAGTAAATCGCTGTATTGACTTTAATATTGAACTGCTGTATAACATTTTACCTTTTCTGTCTTAATCATGACTGACACTAATGTGCGGTTTGTTTGACCTCTTCAAATGTGTGCTATGCTCAAATGCGATATAATGGTCAATCAGACAACCATGCAATGACTTCAAAATAAAAATATTTTCTCTCTTCTAAGTCGATATGCCGATCTGAGCAGACCTCAGGGTAAACACGCTTTGTTAAGGAGCAGCGTGAATCTGGCGTGCACTATGATCTTTCAAAAAATTTTTAATTACTTGGTCTTCTAAGACCATTTTTGTCTCATCTCCGACAATATTCAAGACAGAGGTGTTACAATATGGCTGCGGTGGCTGCGGCGGTAGCGGCGATGTAAACTAATTGTATGAAGCTTTATATTACAGAAGAAGATACCTTACGTCTAACAGTTTAGGTCATTGACCTCATTTTCATGGTTCAGCCATGGAAGAACATAACTCGTATCATGACAACAACTGGTTTTAGAATAATTATGCTTATTTCCGATGCTACAACCCTATGAGTGAATCAATATTAAATCCAAAAAATTACATCTTTAATGACATGACAACAGTATCGTACCTATATCCCTTCTAATTGAAATAAAAATAAGAAGATACGGTACACAGCCAAATTTTACTCATGTGAATTTCACGTGAATCTCATTTCACACGAATTTCACATGAAGTTCTCACCAATTTCGCGTTAATTTCAAGTGAAATTCACGTTAAATTTACGTGAATGATATATATGTGAATTTCACGTTAAATTTTTCACGTGAATTTCAGGAGAAAAAATATTAGTGGTGTCCAAGTTGAAAAAATGAACCTAATGTTAAAACTTTTGTCAACAGCTAATACCTTGTATTACATGTATCATATATTTCATTGAAAATCTTAATTTACTTAAACAATTCTATTTTCACATGAAATTCACTTGAATATTTCACATTAGATTCACGTGGAAATTTTCATGTTAAACTCACGTGAATGTGAATTTAAAGTATAAGCTTGATCAACACGAAAATTCACGTGAACAAAATTTGCCTGTGTATGATTGCCGATGAGACAATTATCCCCCCATAGTTCAAATCAAATGGATGCAAGCAATTATAGGCAACCGTACGGCCTTTAACAATAAGAAAAAAAAAAAACATACCGTATTGTCGACTATAAAAGGCCTCGACATGAAAAATATGAAACAATTCAATTTAGAAAAGACAGACATGAACCAACGACAACCGCTGAACTACAGGCTCCTGACTTGGGACAGGCACATACGGAATGTGGCGGGTTTAAACATGTTTGTGAGCGCTCAACCCTCCTCATTTCCTGTGACAGTGGTGTTACAGCACAATATAAGAACAAACTATAAACATCGGTTGAAAATGGCTTAACTCATTAAATCGATACAAAGTCTGTTTAAAGGTTTGGTTAGCTTTTGAGGTGAATGACGACATTTTTGTGATTTATATAGAATATTACCATAACAGATGGGATGTGAAATACCTGAACGTATAAGGTGTCTGCACGTTCATTTATATTTACCAATAACGTCCTTGTACCGATGATAAAATTTAGTAATATTTTGACAAATTTGTGATATCGAAAACCCTGGTGTAATAGTTCGTTAAAATCAAATACGTTGTAACATACACGAGCGAATCGAATGAGTTGGGGTATATAAATTCCATAAAATGATGCCATGGGCATATAAAAATGGATAATTAACAATAGGAAATGAATAATCATCTCTTTGATTGTAAATTTTAGTAATAAGTTAAAGATATAGATATCAAGATCCAGAAAAAGAAAGTGTTCATTGTTAGTATAACTTTTATTTAAAGTTTGTTTAACAGGATAAATTTCTTTAGTGTACATACTGGAGTCGTTATTATTGAAAGCCAATATATCGTCCAAATGTTAAATAAGTGTTATTAAGTTTTTGTATCAGATGTTG